CTGACAAACAGACTTTGTAAAACAATCACGAGCTCCTTTTCGTAATGATCATTTCCTTTATTCCCATGACCTGAATATGTGAATCAGAGGTGATCTTGTAAGGAGAAATTAGATGCTTGTCACTCTTAGGGGTTAAAGGGTTAACCTTCAAGATGTCACATTATACCAAGATCCTATCTCTCGAAACCAGAATAGCTTAAGTTGGAGGGGGCTTACAAACGGCAGGTTGCATTAACTCCAAAGTTGGGAGAGATCTGTCACGTGGAACAGAACAACTTGCAAGTGTGACTTGGAAACTCCTTGATATTATCATATACTCTCACTACATCCAAGTGCTCTTCCAGGCTATCAATCAGTATTTTTGCTTGCTGTAAAGGTTCTTCAGACAAAGAAACAAGTTTTCGTGGTAAGTATTCCTGTTCTGACGAAAGAAATCTATCAGGGAACCTGTTTGATAAGTCATTGTAAACTTGTTTCACATCTTCCAATGCACAGATGAACTGAAAGCAAAGTAAAATAACTAGTGGTTAGAACTCCTGTGGTTACTCTGCCAGGGAGCACTCTTCATTTGAAGTAATGGGGATCATGTATTGTGAAAGAGAAATATAACTCTTGATTTGTGGACTTTTTAAAGGGTGAAACTATCATCATAAGACAAATATCCCTTCAAAAGGTGCAAGGGATTTAAATAGGTGAGGCAACCTTGATAGGACATTTCAGGGTTTCAATAATAGTAATAATGGAAAGAATTGTATGAACACATCAACAATTGTTTTTGCCTTAATTATGTTTTGTGTTTTTTTCTGGTAAATACATCAAGTAAACAGTGGGTGTTTAACAAAGAACTTGTTTGAAATCTTGTGATTGTTAAAGATTGTTTAGTTTGACCAACTGTATTAATGAGTGACTACTTGACTTGGAAAACTCTCTTAAATAATACATTGAAGCATTGGTTATCACCTTAAAAAAAACAGCCACACAAATAAACAGTGGGTTATTTACAAAAAACTCATTCGAAATCTTGTGATTGTTAAAGATTGTTTAGGCTGACTGACTGTATGAAAGAGTTACTACTCGACTTGGAAAACACTCTCAAATAATACATTGAAGCATCAGTTAACACCTTAAAAAAACAACCGCTGCACAGGCCTGAATTTTTTTCAGGCCTTATTTTCACTATTGCTCAAGTAGTGTTCATGACTGCAAAGATCACTTTCATATTCCCAACAACAACATTGTCAAATCAAAAGACTGTGCTGAAAATACTTGGCCGTATAAACAAAGAATGATGTCATGTAAATACTAGCAGTGTCTTTGAAGGTGTTTAAGCAACTAGTGATGAAACACAATTTTGTATAGACTTTTACAAAGTGCTACATGTTTAATTATTTCTTATCTTGTAATTTAGATCCAGTTCTACCTATGTATTAATTTTTTTAAAAATAATACTATAAGGTCCTAGCCAACAAATGTTTGTTAGAATTCAATTGTAAATGTTGCAGTTTTTTTGTTTGTTTTTTTAGACCACAAGTTTTTAGACTACAAGTGTTAATTATAATTGATTTTGATATTGTAATGATTTTAGGTATATACATGGCCCCTCTGGACAACAGCCTTGTCGCTGAATGGGCCACCCTGTTTTAAATAAATTTCATGTTAGTTTTACTTTACTTCATAGGCTTGAAGAAGTTAGTAGGAATTTCACTGTTTCATGAAAAAGTCCAGTTCCAGATGTAAACTGTAATATGTACAATTTCCACAAGTATCAGTGATTTGGGCCCTTCACACTGTCATACCTTTATATTTTTTGTTCCATTTTCAGATTCACTAAAGAACAGATTCTCTACCCCACATTCAATTGCTATTTCTTCTGCCTACAGAGGACACAAATCTTGATTTAAATATTACCAGTATTTAGCCTCTACTGTATGCATATTGTGTAAAGTGGATGTGTACTATAACTTTGAGCGGTAATGAACTCTAATATTAACAAATATAATTTTCTGTTTTTTTTATCCAACAGGAGCCAAACCAAACAAGGCAGAGCACACTTCAAATTTACACAGATACATGTAGCAGTTAACCCTATTTACAGCCTAAAATCAGTGTGCATATTCTCCATACTGCTCTTTATACATTTCCTAAGGTGCTGACAAGGAGAATTTGTTCAATAATCAAAAGCTTCTTGCATTGATAATCATTTCATTTATTCTTATGACCTTGTGATTCAATGGGTGATATTGTGGGGATAAATTTGATGCATGTCACTCTTAGGGTTTAAAGTTTTAATGAAGAAAATCATCATGTTTTAGCTTTTCCATTAAGACAGACTCACATTTTAACCCTTTAACTCCCATGAGTGACCAGAACAGAATTTCTCCTTACAATATCAATACAATATCAATACAATATCAAGGAGACAAGCGATGAGAATAAAAACAATATAAAGTAAGGGATTATTAGTTGATCCAGTACCAAATTCTCTGAACTAACATCACAAGAATTATATGGCAGATAGTAAGGAGAATTACTAATTAGATCTTGGGAGTGAAAGGGTTAAATCAAAAGTGACTTACCCTTTCAATACTTTCATTATCAGGATAATCAGGTAACTTGCGTTTTTCCTCCGTAAAAAGAAAATCTTCTATGGTTATTGTTCCTGGTTGATTAAAAATTAGTAAATACATTAATCACAATTACTTCACAAGAATTTTTAGTTACTGTCAGTAGCAAATTGTTCCCCCATAGTGCTTGAGACTTAAGCACTGCATAGTTGAAAGAAAAAGTACAGACTTCCAGTAGTAGGTTTTAATATAGAGTAAACTTAGATTTTGCACTAAATCCTAGCTAATCAGCACCATAGAGAGTTCTTGAGCAAGAAACTTTGCCCTTACACTACTTCTCTCCTGAACACAGTTTAAATAGGTACCAACAAACTGTTTGGGGAATATGACAAAATGCCAAGGACTGGACTGGCATCTCATGCAGGAAGAGAAAAAAATACTCTAGTGCCCAGTTGTAACAGTTAAAGCCTCCATGTGTTACCTTTGTGATTGTAGAGAAAAGGCACTGATCCTGCCTCTTTAGACACACCCCTGAAAATTCCAAAAAAAAGGAACTCCTACAAACAGACAAAAGCTATCTTTTGGAAAAAATGAAACGACACATCCCCACAAGTCATATGGTTTTAGAATATCTTTATAATATTATGTTTTTAATGAACTCTACATATCACATCATGGGTATCTGAATAAATTAATGTTTGTACAATATATCTTTGACCGTTCCCAAGATCTGACTAATAATTCTCCCCTCTTGCTGCTACACATTTCCTTGTAAATTAGTTCAAGAATTTGGAGTTAGATCAAGATCACAACTTGTACCTGATAAGTTTGAGTATCCTCTGTACCTGTTTGCTAAATAATGTATAGAAGCACTAGGGAAAAATTATATGTTCATCACTCCTGGGAGTGAGAGGGTTAAGACGCTAAGGTGAGTCTATAAAAGTAGGGTATATACAGTTCATCAAGCTGTCCTAACTCTACACCTTTATATACTACATACGTATGCATATTTTCCATACTTGTCATTAAGCATTTCTTAAGGTGCTAATAAGGAGAGTTTGTTGAACAGTCAAGAGCTTCCTAGGATGGTGATCCGTTCCTTTACTCTCATGACCTTAATGGGTGATTCAGGGGTGCTCATGTAAGGAGAAATTAGATGCTAGTCACTCTGAGGAGTCAAAGTGTTGCACAGATCAAGGCAGAATTCATCAGGGATACTCAACACTTACCCTTTCCTCCGTAGAATTCTGTTCATTTCATACTTTGCTTTGACTTTATTGGTTGTTAGCAGTTGTACAAGAAGTCCACAACCCCCTGGTCCTTTGATTTCAAGGAAGACCGTCTCAAAGGGGTTGTCCTTTGTCTAGAAACAAATCAGTACAAAACCTGCAAATCAGTAACATATGGTCACATTTACCTATATAATTTCGACAGATCTGAAGTAATGAGTCAGAATTCCATTTGAAAAAATAGTCTGTTTGAAATAGTGACAGGACGTGAAATTAATTTTTTTTTCTGATAGCCACTTGGCTCCTAAATTCTTCAAAGAAGTAGCCAATTCAAAAGTTGGTCACTATTTTCAAGGACAATCAAAACCCTTTTTTTACATCGTCAGCATTCTAGATAGACCCTCCAAAATTAAGTTAGGGAAAAGATCTTTAATG